TTTGTACTAGACTCGTAGGACCGCGTTTATATGCAGTTTATATGTCAAATGCATGTATCTGTATCTTCTAATCTTACACATCCTGCATGTGTTTTAGAGTCTCCACCTCTGAAGCTTAGTGTACAGAGACAAAACAGACCCTGAGACCCAGGCTGCTGCACCGCCACTGAGTGATCCAGACATCAAACACATCCCTCTGCCTCTGCTTTATAGTGATGTTTGAATGTACACAATGGATATTAATTAAAACACTATTAGTTTATCCATATTTTGTTTTGTGTTATTAAAACTGCTATCTGTGGCTGGGTGTAGTTGTGTAATTTTGTTTCAGTGTGATTAGTCCTATTTCAGTACATTTGAAAACAGTGTAAAATAGAGTGAAGGAGTGAATTAAGATTTTACATAAAATAGTAAGAGTAATTTAAACATGAAAACGGCTTTGTTTGATGTACAGTTGTATAATGTGTAATTTTACTAATAATAAAGTTACAGATGGTAAAGTAAGTTCCTCCTACTGCAGAAGCCTCGGGTGTTGAGGCTCTGATACTAAACCAGCACTATATCTGATTGGTTATCTGGGGGGTTGCCTGGGTTTTTTCTTTGTTGTTCTCCACCTTTTGTGGTGATTTTTCATGTGTGTGACATCAGACAATTTATTAAGTACATCTGGAACTCCACCACCAGCCTGAACCACTGATAACTACGCAGGTTGGAACCATGCTTTCATGTTATTTACACCAAATTCTGACTCTACTCTCTGCATGTTCAGCAGAAATCAAGACTCATCAGACCAGACAATGGCTTTCCAATTTTTATTGTCCAGTTTTTGGCCACCTGTGTGATTGTAGATGACAGCAGTGACACCTGGTGTGGTCTTCTGTCGATATCATATGCTTCAATATTCAACATGTGAATTGAGAGATCTTCTTCTGCATTCCTTGGTTGGAATGAGTAGCCATTTGACTTAGTATTCATCGGGAAGGCGGTCTGGTCATTCTCCTCTAATCTCTGACATCAACAAGGCATTTCAACCCAGAGAGTTGCTGATCATTGGATATTTTCTCTTTTACAGATAATCCTTGGTTTACAGAGGAAGGTGTGGTTAAAATCCCAGCGGATCATCTGTTTATGAAATACTCAGTCCAGCCCATTTGGAAATAATAACCGTGCCACATTTAAAGTAACCTGAATTCCCCTTTATTCCCATTATGATGCGCAACATAAACAAATAACACGACCATGTCTACGTTCCTAAATACATTGAGTTGCAATTGACTTATTAGATATTTGGATATAAGGTATTAGATAATTACTGGCAGGATTTTATTTTATTACTTATTTGGTCCATTAAAAGTGCAAATTACCAACCACGGAACACGAATGTGTAATTACTACTATCAACAGTAGATGTCGCTATCATCAGCCAGTTAAAGCCTCTTTCTTTGTATTCTGTTTTCGATGCTGGTGAGTCGCTTTAAAGAGGAAGGAAATGTATATAATGATTTTTACGCACTGTATAGATCTATAAATAAGTACATTCCGATTATTTCACAGAGAGTTACTCACCTTTACCGGTGAGATAAGTGAATGAATTTAAAAGTGTTCAAATTCCTTTAGTTCATCGTGAAATATTATTGTTATGGCCTATCTTTATCCAGGCAAGTCTCACTGAGATGAAAAAAACAACAACACCTCTTTTTCAAGAGTAACCTCACTATAATGATCGAGGGCAAACACTGTAATCAGTCTTTTGGGTATAAACAGTGACAGCACCATAAACAAGAATGTGTTTACCTTTAAGGCTTAATTAGTGTGAGAACCTAAAAAACAGAAAGAGCAGTTGTGTAAAATACCACAGGATCTCTTGCCAAGTCAATAAAATAAAATCCAACTGCAGCATTTCACGCAGGACACCAATCAATAGCCTCCAGAAAGGCTATTTCTTCTGTGTAATCAGTGGGTTCCGGCCAGACTGAAGACTATCATCGCATAACTGGAAAAACGAAAAACGTTTTTTGACCAAATTGCCCGTCTGCCATCCTTCCTTAGAGATGAGCACATGTCAGCAAGAAATCATATAATAGCCTTTTTAATCGTTTTAGTAGCTTTGAAATTGTAAATAAATCTCTGTGGTAATTTTTCTTATTGCTGCCTCTGTATGTTTGCTTAAATTTAAGACGCTTGCAGGGGAGGCTTGAAGAAGACGCAGACTGTGATAAGGTGATAATGCTGTAATTTATAGGGTTTATAAATTACAGTATTGTTCTTTGTCCCTGGCTTTTCATTATTAATTTAAAAACCGTTTTAAAGATAATTTACTATGTAAAATCTGTTTGTTTTATCCTGAATAGTTAAATTTCTAAACCATTAATACTTGTGGTCCAGACCAAACTTAATGCTCTGCTATAGACTGAGTTTTAAATGTTATAATTTGTTGGGGTTTGCAGTAGCCCAGGTATGACAAACTTAGGCGAAGTGTCAACTCTTTCTAATACGTTTTGCAATTATTATTATTTTTTCCTATTTAAGTTAGAATCGTTTGGTGTACTATTTCATGTTTATTGCGTACAATTTCGGAAAGATTGGTTGTTTCTAATTCCTAAAGATCAGAAAAAACTGTAATATCTCCTTCAAAGTATCGGAAAAGCGCCACACATCCTTAACGTGGCCAAAAGTGGCATTGCAGGGTTTGCTACTTCCTGTTGTCATGGAGATGAGTACCCCGGAGTTGGCCGATAAACATAAAGACACACGTCCAAAGGGCAGACAGAGATAATTTATCGACAAATAATCCTGTCTTCAAACAAACTTGACACAAAGAACAACAACGATAAATAAGATATAAAACAATGGCATATAAAATTACAACAATAGCTTTTATTTTGTCCCCTGGCTGTGAATTACCGCAAAAGTCACATATGTGTCTGCTTGAGAAAACTTAGAAAGCGTAGGCCAAATGCAAGCGGAATTTATATTCTTTAAACAAACAAACAAAAAACACTCCTATGCATGCAAATCTTCTTTGGACATCAAACTAAAGAAGGAAAATTATTCAAATGACTAGTTTTGAAGTATGCACAACCTGAGTTATTACTTTTATTAGTTTAGTCACAGTTTTTTTCCAAGTGTGGTCGTTTTAGTTTAGTTTTCATTGTTCCATAATGTGCTTTTTTGAGTTTCAGTTTCAATTTTAGGCTATAGTCTTAAAATAAGGGGTATGTGTCAAGTGCAAGATGTAAAAAATTTAGTACTAACATTTTAAGGCCTTTGACTCACAGTAATATAAAGACCTCAGTCTCAGTAAACACACACACACACACACACACACACACACACATATAATTCATTTTACTACCTATTTAAACTGATTATGTTTGGTTAACTTGAACTGATTTGCATATTAAGTAAGCTTCACTTAAAAGTGTAGTTTCACAGTACTCATTTCTATTATTTCAGGTTGAGTGTGAGGCCAACATTGTGATGTGAGTGATGGGAATGCATCAGCATGAGAAAAGCTGCTAGTTGTTAGCTGAATACTGTGCATTTCTTTTTGTTTCTGTTCAACTGTGTCCACAGGTTTTGTTTTATTACCATCAGCCACGTCATGAATGTTGGCTGGTTGGTGGCTATCACTGTGTTGGTGCAGAGAGGAGTGACAAGGTATTGCATGCTTTATGTAAAAATAAAGCCGGATAGACGTCAAGCTCTTGACATTCAAATTTTGCAAAGTAAAAGTAATGCAGAGACCTGGTTTTGATTTTGTAATAGGGTCACTCCATCTCAGCTCATCAAAAAAGGGGGAAAAAAGAAAGAAAATTCCCTACAAGTTTCCCTGAAAAATGACAAAAAGAATCCAGTGGAAAGATTTTAGGGTTAGAGGAGGTGTTTATAGATGTCTTTCTAGCTCTGTGTAATATGGGCTTAGGCTATGTGTAATAAAGGTATATGAAAAATTCACAATGGGAAAATGAGAGTGATCATCAAAAGGCAATTAACAGAAATTTGCTCTTCTTTCTAAAAAAGATGATTTGGAAGTGACAGGGTGTCATACCTGGGGAATAACACTGAAGATAGATGAATTTCTTCTGCAAATCAAATAACAATTGTACCTGCAGAATTACGATTGTCACAGACTTTCGTGTTCGCTTGAGCTAGAGAGTTGAGTCATCATAGTAACATTAAATCATGGTAACAGATATTTACCCTAAAGCAATGGACCTATAACTTCATGTTTATTAGATAATGGAATTTAAAAGTGGCCCTGCTGTAAAAACAAACAAACAAAACAAAAACAGGAAGGACTGGAAACTTTGCAGTATTCCAAAGAAGTGTCGCTTACTCCTGGAATTTCTTTTCCAGTAAGTCTTAAAAGTTCAAGGTGGGAGGAATTTGGTGGACTGACAGGGAATAATTGCATAATGATCTTATTTCTTTAATCACATTCCTACATATAAGCTCACTCCCTTCCAGCTTAGTTTATTTTCATGTTTATTTAATTACTTACTTATTAGATGTCAAAAAAAAATCCACTAAAACATTTTTTTCTTCTTAAAGGTTTAACAAATTCAGTATTTTACCTATTTTATGGCCAGTCTATTAAATATGCCATAATCAAGTAGACTTATCAAAGTTAAAGACGCATTAAAATACTATTGTCAACTCATTATTTACAAGTTATTTAAGTTTAAAGCTAGGAGAATGGCGACTGGAAAACGGAAAACATCTGACTTGTCCTCAAAGGCATTTTGAATACACAGTAATCAAAATACAGAGACGTTAATCAAAAATATTTAAAGCAAAAAAAAATAATTAATTAATCTGTCGAGCTGGAGGATATAGTTACTTTAATTTTTTGGACTTCTCTATTAACTTTTTACGGGTAATGTAATGTAGGTAAATCTGGATTTGGATCAGGCCTCTCCAACCAGGTGTAATTTGTGTGTAAACAGTGGATCTGTAGGGAGGTAGGCTCTCTTGGCACCGTTTCCAGCTCCAGTGAGTCTGCCTGAGCGCTGCGCAGTCAACCGTCTGCAGCGCCACTGGCTGCAGGGATATCCCGATGAAAGAGGAGACTACTCGGGGTAAGTGTCAACTCGCAACCGTTTGGTTCCGCTCCGTATTTGTGTCGCTTTTATCCGCAGCTTCTGTGTATACTATCGACAGACGTAAATGTGTAAACGGAACAGTTTTGCTTCGGCTTCTTTGGTGACAGAGACTGGCCAAAGGCCCGGTGACCCACATTCTTATCTAATGCTGCACGTTAGCTAGCTAGCTTCAGCTGAAAGTGGGTTGACACACATACAGTACATGTAGTACCGACGAGTCAAACGCGCGCTACCTTCTATTATAAAGTCGCGAGTCAGCGACGTACGATACAGACAGGTATGTTGTTTTATCTTCTTCTTCTTCTTTTTAAATCGGGTGTACATATATTCCCAGTGTGTGTCACACGTCTCGGGAAGTGTGTTAAAGTATATAGCTGTTGGTTTGTTGCTGTAATTGGCGTTAGCGAAGCAAGCTAGGTGGCGTTAGCCTCCAGGCAATCAGTACCCGGTGTACCGGCCGGCATCACAGGCAGGAGTAGACGGACGGATACATAAGCTGTACCTGTGTTTGTCGCGTCAAGGTTCAAGCTCAGCTGATTTTTACAAACGCTACCACCGTGAATACCTCATCGGCACATATTTCTATATTTACGCGTCTTTTTTAAATTTTTATTTTAGACGTATATCTTTTATTCCCCCCTCTGTGTTAATCTTTGTGACTCTTGTCATTTCTCTCAGATTTCGAGCCCTATATCCGCCCCGGGTGCTCCTTATTCACCTGTTCTAAAATCGATCGCGTCTCATCTTCTGTCAGTCTGGTCCAGAAGTGTCTGGACACAGCTGGATCATAGCTTGTAGATGCTAATGAGAGACTGTATAGTCTCATACGGGTGTCAGCAAAGCTTTACTTGCTGCGTTGCTGACACTGCTGCCTGCAAACTGAACACAGTGGAGAGCTGTGGCAGCCCTATGATATAAAAAATAAAGCAAGATTTGTTTTTCTGTAATTAGAAATGGATTTTTACAGTAATTTATTCTGAGCAAAACACCAGTAATCACGCTGTATTTCTGAAATGGTCACTTCAAAGCTAAGGTTCTATCTCAGACTTTTTGTTTTTCTTCCTTTTTTGTTGTCCCAGAATAAAGAGTACTTCTCCTTTTGACACTAATTGGATACACAGAAGATTTTCACTAATCAAAGTTATTTGATTCTGTTTAGTTAAGTTCAGATTTAATAAAACATGACAGATCTGTTTTTATACAGTACATAAACTGGTGACTAACATGCCAACCTGGCGTCTTTATACAAAAGGTATTGAAATGGTTTATACGCTTCACTTTGTGCACTCTGTTCATTTCGAGAAACACAACTGCAAATCAGTATTTATTATTTGTCACTGTCATAGCTTTTTAATTGTTGGCAAATGGCATAGACTTTCACTTAAGCCTGGAAGCTGAAAAATACCTTTAATTACAATGCTGTCTGTTGTGATTAAGAACAACTAGAACCACTCTTAAGGTTGTGTGTGTGTTTTTTTTTTTCTTCCATGCTTACCCTTTATATCTTTGCCTGTGGTAATGGGCAGTAAATATGCAATAGTGAGGATTTGATTTCATTGTTAATCATTAAACTAATTAAACTGTCAAGTTGGTATCTTCCTTTTTATCATCTTTCTATAGATATATACAAGTAACAGATTATCTATTTGGCATGATATTCATTGACTGAAAAGTAACCATGACTGTAGAGAAGTACTAACCTGAAGTAATTTGGGAGCAGTTTCCCTCTTCCTTTGTTTCTCTTACAACGGAAAATGTTCTAATAATGGTCGGAAAAAAGATGGATCAAAGGCATCTTAGTGTGTGCCTTTGATTACTTTAAATGTGTCTAAATGACTTGTTGTTTTTAGAATTTTTAAGTAAAAAAAAAAAAAGGGTCCAGTATTGGTCAAGCTGTATTAACTGATAAATCTTTGGCAGCTGTGTTTACAGACGGTACAGTCTCTGTGCTCCATTTTTACCCATAAATAGATGTTGAAGCTGTTAGCAGAGCATGGAAAAATACTTTGACACCTTTTTAGTTGCTGGCACTACATTGTGCTGCAGGTAAAAGGAGGAAGCAGAAATTTTCTCTTTCTCCACTTTCTCTCTGCTTTGGTAGATTATATTTTACTTGTGTTGTCTGTTTCAACTTGGCGTCTTAATTTAAGCATCACGTTTTTTTCTACTTTATTCTAAAACCTCAACTGCACATTTACATTTACAGGGAATAAGTGTTTTGTGCGTTAGATGCTGTGGCTATTTGGAATAAAAAGCAGCAGTAGAGCATGGCAGATTTTCTTTAAACGGAGGAGGAGGGGGGACTGGCAACACCGTGAGCTATGACGGAGGTAGAGGAACACATACAGATTATATTATTACCTGCTATGCCTAATAATATAATTACTGAACGCCTGTCATATCAAGTTTTCCTGATAGAGAGGAGCCTGTGTTGATTCAGTGCAATGTTCTCTGGCAGCTTTCAGCTATTCAGAGGACAGATAAAAGGTAATGGCACTACTCGGGCTTTATATCTATAGTTGATACTGTTAGTCAGCAGATTGGAGTGCTGTGCTGAATTTTGGAAGTTGCATTAGTCAGTTCACATTACAGAGTTTGTGTTTTGCTTGAGTAATCATTGATGCCATGGACTTGGTGCATTTGTTTTGAATGTGAACTGCACACTGTGTCAAGGATGACTACTATAGCATCGTGTCCTCAGGGTCATTTTCCTGTCAAAATCTGTGCTACAGCATCCATCTATAGAATTCAAGCACCAGATTTCCATTCAGAAGTCTTTCGTCCAACCCTGTCTTAGTAATATTATGTTTCTTAAGTTCTTAACCATGTCTTTGCTGCATTTTGTCAGACAAACTAATTGCTTTGTTTTCAATCTCTGCCAGAGGATGACTTCTAAAGCCTTTTTCAGATGAATCTCTTGCTTGTTGCTACAAATAATTATTGTATGAGTTTTGGCTGTTGATGGGTTTTACATCTGAAGTTGTTACCGAAAACAGGAGTTGATAAGTCAGCATTTAACTTGACCTAAAAACCTAAAAAAACTTGACAGGTATTTTCTCTTTTGATGTGAAATGCAATTTCACAATGACTCAGAGGTTTCAATTCTTTTGTAATGAGATAGATCGACTTATCATTACAGCAATTTATTATGCTGATTTCACTAGTAGGGAACCTTACTGCTGTTTTAATAATTTTTGCTGTGTCATTTGGATTGCATTGCCTGTTGAAGTTGTGTAAGATTTTGTTTCTGCTGAAATACAATATCCATCCATTAAGCTATCTATCCATTGAGCCATTTTTCTGCAGTTTATCTGCAGAGGTTTCCCTCTTCCCAGCCAACTCCTTCAGCTAATCTGGGGAAACACAAAGTGTTCCCAGGCCAGCCGAGAGATGTAATCTCTCCAACTTGTCCCGGGTCTACCCTTGGCCCTCCTTGCAGTACGACATGCCCGGAACACCTCACCCAGGCAGCAAAGTCAGATGCCCAAACCACCTAAACTGGTTTCTTTCTCGGTGAAGGAATAGCAGCTCTACACTGATTCCCTCTTGTAAGAACTCCTTACCCTATCTCCAAGCCACCTTTCAAAGAAGACTCATTTCTTCCACTTGTATCCGCAGTCTCATTCCTTTAGTGACTACCCAAAGCTTATAGGGACATAGATAGACCACTAAATCGATAGCTTCAGTTTTACGCTTAGCTCTCGCTTCACCACGACAAACTGGTGCAATGCCACAGTCAGTCTTTTAATCTCCTGCTTCCCTCACTTTGAATAAGGCTCCAGGATATTTGAATTTCTCCACTTGGGGCAACAACTTTTCCCTAATCCACAGTAGGTTCCTGCCGAGAATGTTTTGGCCCCTAAGGCCTGGCCACTAGATGCTCTCTTGGCTCCAAGGTTGGGCCCCAGTAACCACAGTAATTTCTTTTCACAGGGTACTCGGAATCGCTCTTCATTTGTCTCCCCACCCAGGGCCAATTTGCCTTAGGAGACCCAACCAGGGCTAAAGCCCTTGAAAGTATAGCCCCTGGGATCACAGGGACACAGAAACCCCTTCCACTAACATAAGATGGTGATTTATCTCGGGGTGAAATAAAGTGGTATTTGTTTAAAAACAAACAAACATTTTAACTGCTAACATTTGATGTTTACACTTGGTAGTTTTAAAAAAAACTACCAAGTGTAAAAAAGGTCAGTGGAATAATAACAGTCCACTTTTAATAAGAAGACCACATATCACTGGTTTTTGTATTAAATAATAATGTATTATAATAAATATGATGTAAATATTCTCAAAATAATTTTCAGACATCAAGATGGTATACTGTTAAACAGTATATTTTTCTTTTGGAGTTTTATTGAAACCAACATATTAATTACCAAATTAATGAATTATGGGTTGGCTCATAATTAGTTTTTCACTCAGAGCAGTGGCAAGTGAAATATTAACAAGCTCGTGAAGATTTCTCTTTGCTGTCCCCAAGCCTTTAGAGGACAATGATCTCTGACAGCAGCATTAGTTGCAGAGAAATCCTTTCACCACACAGGATTGTTTGTGTCACACTGACCTTTCACTGAGAGCTGAGAGGATTTTTCCTCTTCATTCACAGACTTTGTCAGCAGTTGTTTCTTTGTGTGACCTAAACACTAGTTCCATTTCTTAGTAAACAATTTATCTCTTTGGCTCAGTATGCGCAGTGATATCGGAGTTATGGGAGCTGACGAGGTGCAGGTGGAGGCTTGTTTGATGTTGAACTTTTGAACTTGTAAAAATGTGTTGCTGAGATAACAACTGCATATCTGTGACAGAAATAAGGACTGAACTATATACTTACGTTTTTATTATACTCATTGTTTGTGCTTTATCAGAATGGATAATTAGTGAGTAGTAAAAATACAGTGCAGTCTTGCTTATGTTTCACCTTCTTTTTGCTACTAGTAATCTGTTGGTTTTTTATGATATTATTGTAAGTTAAACATCTTAAATTAAATTTAAATGCAGTAAAATCTTTAAATATACAATACAGAGCAAAGGTAACTTTTTTTGACAGCAAGTAATTCTTGTAAAAATTAAGAAGCTGATCTACATGGAGATTAGGTGCAATTGAAAACTGTCTTAGAATGATGCTACTATGATGAAGAAAAAAATAGGTCAAGTCTACTGGGTTTTCCCTTAAAAGTGACGTTAGTATACCAGCAACTTCACTAATGATTTTGTATTTCTGAAAATGACTCGTTAATTTTTTAGTAAAAGACAAAAGCACAGAGAAATGTGACAAAAACAAAATAGATGATTTGTAAAAAGTTTTTTTTTGTGTTGGAAAATGTGGAAGTTGATCAGTTGCGTCTTGTGCCAATGTTGCCTAAGCTGAACCCAAGTTTTTACATTGATGCTTCCAAGTCTGTACTTAAACATATTTGTATGCTACTGTTTGTTTGAGGTTATGACTGTTTGCACTCTGTAGGCTGTAAAAGCATCATGATTCTATTTAATGATGAGAAGTCAGTTAAATATAGACGGTAACTAGAACATCCATTCATTATTGCTGAAACAAAATTATTACCTGTGGAGTTTTTCCACGTGTAAAGTAAATTAACATTTGTAATTACCAGCATTAAGTTGGGCACCAAGCGAGATATTAAACAACTTTTGGCTGCAGCTTCACATTTTCTAGAATATTCTGTTTTGGTCAGTTTCTTTCTGTTTAATTAATGCATTTAAGATTTTTAATAGTTTTTTTTTTTTTTTTTACCAAGATATTGATTTAATTTCAGGCAAATGTGACAATTTTGTTTACGCTATTTTCTTTTTTTCTTAACTAATGAATTGGAAACTGAAAAATAAAAATAGTGGATACTTTTCTGTGGACGAGTCTGCACAGTTACAAGAAAATAGGCATTCAGGCATAATATGTGACAATAATTATTGTAAGTAAAATGTAAAGTGTAAAATGAAACCTAAAACTTACAGGCAACCAGTGAAGGGAGGCTAAAACTGGAGTAATATGAGATCTTCTCTTGGTGCCTGTTAAGAGAGGTGCTGCAGCATTCTGCACAGTCTGGAGATGATTTAGGCTGATTTGTTAAAACAAGTAAAAAGACCATTACAGTAGTCTAAACGGGAGGAAATAAAAGCATAAGGGTCTAGGAAGCTGATATGCTGCCTAATTTCTGAGACCATGTGACCTGGAGCAATAATTAGAGTTTCAGTTTTATCAGAGTTTAGTTGGAACCGTGGTTAAATTGTCATTTAACCATGGCTGATTTCTGTCAGGCAATTACTTAAATGAAACAATTTCTAAAACTCAGAAATCCTGAAGGAACAGTATAGTTGAATGTCATCAGCATAGAGATGATAGGAGATATTTTTATAGCGCTTAATAATTTAGTCTAGGGGGAATATATAAAGTAGAAAGAAAATTGGACCCAGGATAGATCCCTGAGGTACCCCACACGGCAAAATTGTTGATTCTGACGTCACATGATTCATGCAAACAGTAAAAGATCTCTAAGACAAATATGACATAAACCATTTTAAAACAGTAATCCCAAACAAGTTCTTGAGTCTGTTTATCATGATACTGTGATCTACAGTATCAAAAGCAGAGCTGAGATCCAACAGAACCAGAACTGTGTACTCTCCAGAGTCTGCTGCCATCAAGATATCACTAGATACTCTAAGTAAGGCCGTTTCAGTGGAATGCAATTTACGAGTGTGGTGCTGAAACGCACGCGCACACTCGCACACTCCTTCAGCATCACTTTTTCTTACGATGGCACAAACTAACATTCAGGTTAACATATTTTTTTTATTTATGTTATCTGTAAAGAGACCCTTTCAAAGCTGGTGAATGAAGTGTGTGTCATCTTATTTCTGCAGTGCTTTGGGAGGCTCGTGATGACCCAGATGTTTTAGCTCTTAGTCAGTGATGAGACTCTTTTCTCAAAGCCACCAATTTGTAATTTTAGCTTTTTTCTTTCTGTTCAACAGGTGAATTCGGACAAGTTTTAACTACAAGTTTTAACTATATTGAGATGGAGGAGTTGGCGAATTAAGCACCACTCAAAGACAAAAGGTAAGACTTTCTTGGAAATTAACCACTGAATTTAGCTCTGGGTTGCAGCAGTGGACTGTTTAGAGCTTGTGCATATTCGCCTGGGTTAATTAGGCTGTTTAAAGTCTAATTCATCAGAAGCTATTACAGAGCTATTATTCGTCCATGTTTCAGTAGTGCTCTATTTTTGATTTGCAGTCTGTCATGAAAATGATGAATATGGAAATGAGAATGGTGCTGGCTGAGTCACCAGAGAATTTCAAATGAATTTGTCATGCGAAAATGCAAAGTAGTTCAGTTCTTTGACTACATCTTGCTATAACCTTGATTAACTTCAGACAAAAGCTCTATCACTACTGTTGTTATACACACGTTGTGTCTCGTTAAGCTCTCTAAAGGTATATTACAAGAGGCCTAGTCTGGATAAATGTAAATATATAATCTATTGTATGTATTTATCTTTTCCTGCTTAATAGTTAAAACTAAACTGAATCTCTCTTTTTCATATTTTTAATCTGGATTCCTTGTGTTACTCTGTTAAATATTAATTAGATTAGGCTTAAAGTATAGGTTTAAGGTGGCCTTAACCCATAATAATTAGCTTTTGTTAAAGACAGCTATGTCCGTGGCTACAGACAAAGCCGATTAGATGCCATACTGTGGGGTAAATCAGACCCCAGATGGGTTGTTTAAATAAAAATATCAAAATCAGTAAAGAAGAACCGATGATATTTATTTTTTTTTATTGCCAGCATTCTTCTTTTATGTCATAACATTATGCACGATGTTTTTCAGCAGTTTGGTGTTAACTCAGAGTCCTTCTAGAAAAATCTAGAAGTCTAGGCATCTTGAAAATGCCTCCAGGCAGTTATTTGAAGCTCTTGTGTGAATCAGTAGGAGAGAGCCTGAGTATAATTTTAAAGGTCACTGTGACTTAAAAACTAAAAGTACAGAATCATCACTCAAATGAGATTTTTATATTAAAAAACAACAAAAAAATTGGTTTGGCCCAAATTAAGGTGCAAGTTATTCTTCTACAAGGCGTGTCCATAGTTTTTGACAACATCATGGTTTTATTAACAACTTGATTCAGAGCTCAGTGTCTGTGGATCATCAGACCAGACTGTTATAGAATTGACTAATATATTTTTATTTTTTTGGATTTTGTATTCACCATATCACCTTATGACTCTGGTTATGCCAACGGTGACTGATATAACTTCAAGTACAAATGGGCTAGTAGCCTCTTTCTTTTCTAACTCGCTGTTCTTTTTAGTGTTTGCTGTAATTGTTTCATAAGAATATACATTATACACATTGAAAAAGACTTAATGTGGTGCAGTACATGAGGGAAAAATGTTTTTTTTTTCACACATCATTGACATTATTTGACTTTGTCCAGTAACGGCAAGTAAAAAATAATGTTTTATAATTATTTATTCAGTGCGGAAAGGCATTGGATTTGGGGGTCTTTATAACAAGTGTTATTATTAGGGCTGAAATTCATAGAAATTGTATATCTAACATTATATGTGCTATCACAAGCCATGGTCATGGGATTATTAACTATTATTGCAATTTCCTCTTTAGTTTGTGTGGAGCGAAATTTTTATATTTTCAGACTTTAAGTCACAACTGATGCTGCAATTAAATGGGGAGACTTAAAATACAACTGCACACAGCTTGTTAAAAATATGTATAATCGGTGCAATTCCCATTTCATGTAATGGCGTTAATGGCATACAAGCATTTCCCTTTATTATGGAAGTTTTGCTCAAACAAAAGTGGACAGTAGATGTTTTATAGTTTAGAAGCTGAGGGGTTGTTTAGTTTTATGTTCAAAATGACAATTTCTTGTTGTTCAAACATTACGTTTTTTATGCTAACACTGTTTAATGAAAAATGGTAAAACGTGTAAGATCTTCAGAGTGAGTCTTTTCTACCTGTAGTCAAAAGATAATATGGTTTAAAACTAACACTGGATTTTTGTACATGCATTGCAGAAATGTCCTGTTACATTCAAAGGCTGAGCTAAAAGCAGATATGGCTATCTTTGGCTATCTCTGAAAAGTTCAGTCAATCAATCAGTAAATGTAGTCCAGCGTAGTTAATGCCAAAGAACACTGTAGATAGACATGCCCACTGCATCCGCTTTACTTTATTTCTAATGATTAAACAGTAGCTCTACTGACGTGTAAGGATGTTTGCTACATTGCATATCTACACAGGTCTTGTTAGACTTTTAGATCCCATGTCACTTGTTTGTGAGTTCTGCATGATGAATGATGTTTAATTTAAGCTTGTGTAGTGGCAGACAACGGAAGAGTGCACTCTTTATCTGAGATTAACTGCAGTCAATAAAGAGAGATTTTGGCCAGAGCAAAGTTGTTTGGGTGTGCCCTGATATATTAATCTGTGGAAGTCATCTGGAAAAGGACAAGCACATAATCTCAGACAGAGCAGTCAAGTAATATCATTACTTGTGCAGGTTTTCTACTTGTTCAGTTTTCCCTGAGGGCCAGGGCTTGTACAGTGGGAATGCAGTGTTAATTCTTATTTAAGTGGTTGTCTTCTTGTGGTCAAATGTTGGTCATATAGGGCTGCAAGTCCACGTTTAATTTTGATTGCTTTCCCCATGCTGCCAGTCGTCCTCCTGAACTCCAGTGACCCACTTGGCGTCAGGATTAGGCCCCTGGCTCAGGCCCTGCTCTTCTGGGAGAGGAGGGCAGCAGTAGTCAAGGGGCCCCTGCCAACCACTGCGGCTTGTGTCTCAAAGATTCCTGTCTATGGATTAAAAATGCAAAACAAAGACTCCTTTTGTGCCGCTGGGCCTGAGGATGTGTGTGCAGTGAGTGGAAACACAGCTGGCTGCCCTGTGTTTAGTTTGGTTGGTATAACTGTGCAGCAGACTGGTGGGCAATGTTGACAAGCTTGTGCTGTGGGTTTTATTGCTTACAGGCCAAATGAGTATGACATTATTAAAACCATCGAATCTTCCACTAGCCACAGGAAAGACTGCTCTGCCTGTAAACTGAGAGAATCGCATCATTAATTGCTGTGTGAATGCCACTAGGATGTGCAGACCTTGAAGCTGCCTCTCACAGGATGTGTGACTGAGTAATTTATTCACCAAAGTGTTGTTGTTGATTTGTGTGACCTGCTTGGCAGTGAGGCTGTTGCTATTGCTGCTTGTTAAAACTGCATAATATTATCCTAGATATTTGCTATCACTTACAGCAGAATGAACACCCTCTCTTCCTTATGGCTTTCTAAACCCTGCATTATGTCTGTTTTGCTGAAAATTGTGTGAGAATAAAAGGTGAAGCTTATAAGCACCACAGGTTTTTAAGTGGTTGACAGACTTTCAAGAAATCTTGTTAAAGCTGTGGTCTGTGCTCCCACACTTGGGATCAATGAGAGTTCACCCATCCCCTGTTCTCAGGTATCGGGGTTTTGACAGATGATGGGGAAAACACAAAGGTTGCTATGAAACCAGAGTTCATCTACTCATGTGATATAAGACCTGCTGGATAGTGTTATCTGTAGTTTGGGTTCAAAGTTTCACAAAATGTCCCTTTTAAACTGTTTTGATAACCTTAACATTATTTAGGGCACTGGGTCATATTTTAGACTTGAGAAAAGCATCTAGAGAGCCATCAAATTAGGTTTCTAACAGGCTGGAAGAATGTTCAAATGAATTGGACTTAAAGTATGAGGATTGTTTGCAAGACTGTCTGGTTGGGTGCACAGACAACTTCCTGGTTGAGTTAAATATTTAGTTTTAAACTGACTGGTATGCAGAATCTTTTGAGATGAGATTTTTTGATACTGGGTTTTTTTTCTGGTTTCTGTTTGTTTGTTGTCGAGTAGTGCCCAGACAATCACGCATGGTTGGGAGAGCAAAGAGGTAGCATTGCTGAAATGGAATCATTGTTACTTTTGACAGCAAACTCTGATTTAGTCTTTTGACTAAATTGATTTGATTTTAATTTTAGTCATAATTAAGGTTCTGTTTTTTTTAGTCTAGTTTTAGGCAACTAAATATCGTAAGATTATAGCTGAGTTAAATATATAATGTGTAAGTTTTGATAATAAAAGTGATTGATAATCAATCTAATAAAACCAGGAAGTCTTGGCCCAAATATTTGGTGTTAAAAGCGTCATATTCACAGGATAAGTCACTGAAAATAACTGATGGGTTTTCTGATTGTCTTGTCTAGATTACTGATATATTTGTTTTTTATGAATGTAAAAGGCAAAAACTTTTCATTCGCATCTGTCAAGCTGCGCATCTGCAAGCAAGCATAACTGCAGACTTCTTGACTTCTTTGAATACTTCGAAGACAGAATACTGATGAATAACACCATAACAAAAGGTCTTGTTTTAATAACATTGTGAGGGAGAAAACATTTTCATCCTGACATTTTAATTTTAAATAACCATGACAGGCGGAGCTGTCTGGGGCTTTATTGTGCATCTGTATTAGTAGCTGCTGCTCCAGCCTGCATATGAACGAACAAATGGTTCCTGCTCTCATTAGAGTGGAATATAATCATTATACAGTTATTTAATACTGTCCAGTGTAAACTAGGGATATTCCCTGTGACTAATTTACCAGTTGTTTATTGCTATAGTCACATTAGGCATTCGGAAATTGCGGCATAACCAAAATTTGCAAACAACCACAGAGACATGCCGCAGGCAATTTATGCTCACCAGTGCAGACTGACTAAGATCGATTGCAACATTTTGGCAATGAATTGGATGAGAATTAATAATAAAACTTTCATCAGTCTGTCTGATAGTAATTGTAGTCATTCCATGTCAGACTGCAATTGTTGTGATTGAGACAGGTTTCCCTCCACCTAGCGACCTTTGCAGTAGTTTTGTGATTGAAAGCGGGTGCTGAGAGGTTGCTACACGCTCAGAATCTCTGTGTAGTTGGTGGAAAATATTCAAAGCAATCACCACTGATGATGTTTATTTTTTTTTTAAATTTTCTTTCTTGTAGAAGGAGGGT